TTCAGCAATATTCCAGCTATATGGCGGCGGTCTGTTAATTAGCCACCAGACTTGTAATTTGCAAGGAATTGCAGCTTCTAAGTATAGTCTTTACGTTAATTAGATAACCTTTTAAGAAATGTCAGGTCTTAAGGAGAAGGGATTTTTATGGTATGTGTGTACATAGTGAGGGAGTGAGTTAAAATTTATAATCACTTTGGCAATATTTCAGCCATATCATGACTTTAAAAAGGGTCATATTTAAATAATTTATATGTTATTTCTTAAAATCTGTCTGCGAAAGACAGTAAAGGAATTAGAATATCACAGTTAGAGATTTCAAACAAGCATGTCACTTAAAAGTGTGTACTATTTTGGACATTACAATATAAAGATAGACTATAGATCACAAGCAACTGAAGGTATATCACCATACTAGGGGCCACTTACAGTGCCTTTACTACGTGCATGGATCCTAGCTGGATTTACTCCATCCTCTCAGCTACTGGTGATTGTAGTGAAATTAAGCCATTAGTTAAAACAACAAATATTCTACGATTCAAATTCTGTAGGTCGAAATTGATTTTGAAAGTTTTGGGATTTACGTATCCTCTCAAGAGGACAATAATTTTACAATACTTTAAGGATACAGCATCTGACCATCTAAATTGCAACTTTACCAATATTAAAATTAAGCTATCTACACAATATCAAAATCTATCAATTAATTCAGTTTCTTTTAAAAATGCAAGGATTAAATGAGGAGCAAGAAGTTTTGTACACAGTATTAAACTACGATTGTAAACTTGGGGATTATTCTTTATGAAAAATAAAACTGTAAGCCTCGGAATTTAACGAATTGAATGACTCGTGTTAAAACAGTTGATGTCATACGTCAACCGGTTATTATCCTCTATCATGTTTCTGATCCTTCTCTACAGATCTGGACAGAAACATCGGCATGGAGATACTTGTGGGCAGCCAGATATGCTACAACTGGTCATCAACTGAACATCCCCCACTTATAGCCAAAGTCACCTGCCGCCAGCCACTGACAGGAACCACGGTCACTGTACGGATTCCTGGTCAACAGAAAATACTTACTTTGTGTGAAGTGCAGATATTTGGTATGTTCTGAAATACTGATGTGTAATATTTTATCATCTGCTAGGGATTTCAACATGGCAAATCGATGTTCATAACAGTCAGTAGTTAGTTCCTGTACTTTACACCTTCCGAACACTGATGAACGGCGACCAGATATCATACACAATTTACATCTTTGCTTCAATATCGACTAAATGGTGATGACTATTGTGTAACTATGTTCAGTTTGCAGTGACGGGTGGTTTTCTGAAGATTGTGACAAACAGTGCCAATGCCTAAACAGTACTGATGTATGTGACAAGATCTCTGGTCACTGTTCTAGCGGATGTTTACCGGGATACCATGGTACCGATTGCCAAACAGGTAAGATATGAGTGAGTGAGTAAGTTTGGTTTTACGCCGTTTTTAGAACTATTCCAGCAATGTAATGGTAGGGGACACTAGAAAAAGGCTTCACATAGTGTACCTATGTTGGAAATCGAACTCGGGTCTCCGGAGTGACGAGAGAAGGCTACCACACCGCCTCAGATATGAAAGTAGTTAGCGTTGTAACATATGTTATACTTGGGGTTACACTTTCTCAGTAAAGTACAGATCTAGCACTTTTGTTAAGTTGAGTCCCATCTGGGATTCAAACCCACACCCACAGAGTCAGGCACTTAATCGCCAGCATACAAAGTCAGTCGCCTTACCCGCTCAGCCAACGCGACTTTGTGTGCTGGCGATTAGGTTTCAATTTTTCTATGACTTTGCCAGTTGAGAGATCTGGCTCACGGAAAAAAAACAACAACTTTAGTTTGGCATTCAGTTTGACCAGTTGATTATTTTTCCAACATGTGATTAAATTACTAAATTGCTTCTACTTTGCAAAGCGTTCACTCTTCGCGCGGAAGACCAGGGTTCGATTCCCCACATGGGTACCATGTGTGAAGCCCATTTCTGGTGTCCCCCGCCGTGATATTGCGGGAATATTGCTATTCACTCACTCACTCACCAAACTCACTCCCTCACTCTACTTTGCACGTGTTACAGATAATTTGATGCATTATATATAGCAATGCACATACGTGCCAGGGAATATTTAGTTCTTACTTCACGAATCAGCTGTATAACTTGAACGTATGAACAAGACAGAAAAACAGTGCTTGGAATTATGAACAAAGCTCACCCTGTCATTAAGCTATGCACTTGACCATCTGATCCAATTACATAATGATATTCTGTCGACGAGGGGCAGTAAAATAACCAGATTATAACATATAGAGGATTAGCATATTACCTTAAATCAAATTTTTTTTTATTATTATGGACATTACATAATAAAAACGGACTGGAGATCGCCAGCAACGGCAGGAAGTTCACCATGCATGGGACCATGGGTACTTAAAGTACTTTGACGACCTACTTGGACTCATTTACATCATTACTTCAGATGTTGGCTAGTTTTGCACAAATTTGTTATAAATTATAAGAACACATATACTACGAGTAAAATCACGGACAATGAAAAATACTTTGAATGAATTGGGAGGGGGGGATCATTTTATGTTACTTCAACCCGTTTTGAAGGTATTAAGTCATTCTCACAAATTAAAACTCTTTTACTAATTACAATATATATAAAAAAGTCATCAATGCAATCATTTTCTTTAATAAAAACAAGAAAAAAAAGAGAATGAATATCAGTAAAACATCCTTTATAGATGATGATTTGAAATATTTATACCTTGTGATGGAAAATTCAATAGTCAAGCACGACACACTTCGTCGTGATTGTATCATCACAAGGGATACAAAATGGTGGGCTTCACCTTTTATTAAATACTCATTGGAATTTCTTGTATGGCCAATGCGACATCGTCACATAATGACCTCTTCAAATCTGAACTGGCAACCCAGGTTCGAGTAACCGATAGTTGATTTAATTGTATGTAATGTTATTGATTCCTACTTTCTTGTTCCACTTCTGCATTAGATTACGGATGTAAGAACTAATAACTGCTTTATAATCAGTATCTGGGATACGAAGTGGTGTCACAGATTTGTCGAGTGCTGCCTGAAAGGTATATATTGTTTATATTTGGAGTATCTATTGATATAGTTATGAACTTTTAATATAGCTTTCACTTCGGCTGTGACAATTGAGATGTCATTTGGTAATCTAGCATTCTCTGATAGAGTGTAACATTAACTAGATATACTGTGCAACTATGGTGACAACCATTACAATGATGTTTTGAATGACGAGCATTACTTTATGAGCATATCTTGTAAGCAATGTTACATGATAATATATACCTGGAATCATCGATGAGAGCTACTGTCAAACATAGCATGCACTACCATGCATTATGCCTCTTCGGGTAATATTATTGGACTAGTGTTTAGATTCTGTCAAACACAAACCGACGTAATCTGACCAGTCTGAGAACAGGATTGTCTTCAGTTGATACACGAACGTGGTGTCAACGTCAGTTTGTAAATGTAAACTTGAATTAGTGTTTAGGAAGCTGCGTGTGCAGGTTTGGTAAAACGATACATTGTCGTAATGAGAAGGACGCTCTGATATTCTAAGACTTCAGACTGGAAACGGGGCCCTCGAATATCCTATCCTGTACATGTTGTTAGATTTTATTCAGATGTAAATCAGGCATGCCAAGTGTGTAGTAGCATCATAAGACAAAGTGACACGGAGACGGTTCAACAAAACGTGCATGGTTTAGTTTTGCACCTGGCCATTAAAATGTCACACTTCTCATTTTGGAACATACCCGTGAGAGTCCGGGTTAGAATTGGTCTTCAGGAACCCGTGCTTTTCGTTAGAGGCAACTGACGGGATTGAATGGTCATAACTCATCTAATCCCAGTAGCGTAGATATACGCCATGCTGCTGATCACTTGATTGTCCGGCCAGACTCGATTACTTACAGACCGCAGTCCTACAGCTGGGTATATTGCTGAATGCGGCGTTAAACAACAGCCAAACGAAAGCCAAAATTTGGAACAGAAATTTGAGAAACCCAACTGACGAAAAGTAGCATATTTCAAGCTTTCAATTGTCCCCTGAAATATTCCTAGTTTTGTTTTGGTTGTTATTACCAATCGTAACCGAATGTTAAATTTAATGGCTCAGTTCATAATGATGGCAATATGTTATCAGTGAACTGAGTCACATATACTGTAAGTTAGTACAAACCAGTAACGTATGTTTACTAGCTCACCAGAGTGATTTAAACAAATGAAGTTCGATTCCCGGCCGCGTCACACTTAAAGGCGTTAAAATATGGAACTTGTTGGTCCTGCCTGGCGCTCGGCATGAATGGGTACAACAAGGACTGGTCGGCTCGGCGTCAGTATAAGGTGTCTGAGTGGGATATTCATGCTTAACTGCAACATGGTATATCAGTGAGCTAGCACTATAAACCAGCTTAAGTCTGGGCTAGTACAAGCAGCCACACATATACACACGCATGCACGTCGTCATACGACATACGTCATACCCTTTCCTCAAACACTCAATATTTATGCAATTAGTTATTATGATGAACTTATCTTTAGCTATGCACAATTATGTATTATGTATATGTCTAGAATGTCCAGTTGGTTCCTATGGTATCAACTGTGCCTCCCGGTGTGGAAACTGTCTTGATGGTGTCAGCTGTAAGAAGACCACAGGAACCTGTCCTGGAGGATGTGCAGCAGGATGGGTGAATGACGACACAAAGTTCTGCCAACAACGTAAGTACTGATGGCGTCATGTGGCAATGACTATATTTGTCTGCAAAGATTAACCTCGAGGTTGATGTATTTTATAACTATGTGTTTACAATGGTAGCAGTTACCTCTCAGTATTGATATTGTCTCAGTTATGACAAGATGTCCGGAATACATACATGTGAATTGTGTGTTAACAGATTGTCCAGATGGTTCCTATGGTATCAACTGCGCCTCCCGGTGTGGAAACTGCCTCAGTGGTGTTAGCTGTGACAAGACCAACGGAGCCTGTCCTGACGGATGTGCAGCAGGATGGATGAGTAACGAAACAACATCCTGTCTACAACGTGAGAGTTTTTCTCATATATGGATCTTTGATTATATTGTTCGTTATTTTGTTTCGGCCCAGTTCGTTTTCATTTAGAATCAAACTATTTTGCCACATAAAACGTTTTTCAGCTTTTGAATAAGTGAGTGAGTGAGTTAAAATGTATAGTCACATTGGCAATATTTCAACCAGATCGTGACTTTCAAAGTTATACATTCCTAATAAACGCAAGTAAATTATAAAAACCTGTCGACGAAGGACAGTAAGACCAACTAGAATCTCTTTAAAATGGGAGTTCGAATAAGGACAATACAGTATTAAAATGTTCTATAGATCGCCAACAACTGAAGGTAGACCACCATACTAGGGACCATGGGGATTTACAGTACATTTTCTTCCTGCATGGACCCTAGTATAATAACATATATCCTATGATTAAATAATGTGGTAGGTTAAATTTACCTTGAATATTTTGGAACTTATGTATCCTCTCAGGAGGACAATAAGTTTACAGTACTTTAACCACCTCTGAGGATACACCCACTACCAATCATAAAAGTACATCTATTTACAAAACATATTATTCAAAATTTGTCAGTCAGTTCTATTTCTTTTAAATATTCAATGATAAAATGGTAATTGAAGTTATAAAAAAGATACTTTAATGTTTTGACATGAAAATATTTATAACTTGTGATGGAAAAATCAGTGCAGTCAAGCAGAATATGCTTGACCCTTTTGGATAATATTCATGAAATATATGCTATACAGAAAACGAAACGCACAGTTGAATTCAATAACATCAGGGTGGAGTTGGTGGTGATGAACCAGTTAGTACATTTTCTTGGGAATTTGTGCCTGATTTGATGGTGTCATTTGTACTGATTAAGGCCACAGGAACATGTCCTGGAGTACATGGCTCCATTGGTAGCAGGTGTCTCAAAATTTGAGCCAAGTGGCACCCCATGGAATAAAAATGTTCCAGTCCACGCTTTTATTGTATGCCTTCTTTTGTCAATATAGGTCCACGTTACAAGAGACCAATACAAGTGAGTATTTGCGGTCGGAACGTGTGAACAGTAAATGTCAGTGTGTTTGCAGCATGTCCAGATGGTTCCTATGGTATCAACTGCGCCTCCCGGTGTGGAAACTGCCTCAGTGGTGTTAGCTGTGACAAGACCAACGGAGCCTGTCCTGACGGATGTGCAGCAGGATGGATGAGTAACGAAACAACATCCTGTCTACAACGTGAGAGTTTTTCTCATATATGGATCTTTGATTATATTGTTCGTTATTTTGTTTCGGCCCAGTTCGTTTTCATTTAGAATCAAACTATTTTGCCACATAAAACGTTTTTCAGCTTTTGAATAAGTGAGTGAGTGAGTTAAAATGTACAGTCACATTGGCAATATTTCAACCAGATCGTGACTTTCAAAGTTATACATTCCTAATAAACGCAAGTAAATTATAAAAACCTGTCGACGAAGGACAGTAAGACCAACTAGAATCTCTTTAAAATGGGAGTTCGAATAAGGACAATACAGTATTAAAATGTTCCATACTGAAGGTAGACCACCATACACATATACTAGGGACCATGGGGATTTACAGTACATTTTCTTCCTGCATGGACCCTGGTATAATTACATATATCCTATGATTAAATAGTGTGGTAGGTTAAATTTACCTTGAATATTTTGGAACTTATGTATCCTCTGAGGAGGACAAAAATTTTACAGTACTTTAACCACCTTTGAGGATACACCCACTATGTACCTTGATGGCGTCATATGTGAAAAGACATCAGGAACATGTCATGGATTATGTGCGGTAGGATGGATGAATGATACATGTCTACAAGATGAGACAGAATCGTGGTGATGAAGATATAACAAAGTGTCAATTTACATACCGCCAAACTCCAAACTAGGTATGTTCATAGCGCTGACGATGAATAGCATAGCACATTAAGAGATACTTTTTTCTGTACGTGTGGTTGTTGGATATTTTAACTCGCATGGTCATTCAAAATGAGCAAACTTTGCAATAGAGATCTGTGTGTTTACCGAAGGTAAACATGGCTCCTATGTTTGCAGGTACATGTATCTCTAAGTATGGAAATTGTCTAAAGTGTTTCAGTTGGGACAAGACAAACGGAACAGCCCATGGAGGATGTGCAGCGGGAGTGTATGAATGAGTTACATGTCTCCATGTGAAAAGAAATGATGTTTTACAAATACAACTGTGCTGGCATAAGTTTTATGTAATAATGCTATGCTAAAAGTGCTGTGCTATTGAATTTGTGTTCACAGAATGTCCAGATGGTTTCTATGGTATCAACTGTAGCTCCCAGTGTGGAAACTGCCTTGATGATGTCAGCTGTAACAAGATCACAGGAGCCTGTACTGGAGGATGTGCAGCAGGATGGATGAGTACCGACACAACGTCCTGTCTACAACGTGAGCACTTACGTTTTACTTTGGAAACTTCCGTTAATGTCTTCACAGTTTATGAATTATGATTTTTATCATTCAGAATTATAATGTATTTTCACAAATGAAGTGTTCACATTTTGCATAGCATTCCATTCATCAGATATATAGTTTTAAGAAAAAGAAATGCACAGCTCAAATCAACAACTATAGGCTGTATTTCCAAGAAGTGGATCGGAATGGTGGTGCTGAACGAGTGTTTGTATATTTTCTTGAGATCATGTGCTTGTGTGGTATTTTGGTTTTCGTTGTCACTCCAAATTGACGTGGTTAACAGTAAATGTGTGTTTTTGCAGCATGTCAAAATGGTTCCAACATGTATGGTGTCAACTGTGCCTCTCATTGTGGAAACTGCCTGGATAGTGTCAGCTGTGACAAGACAAACGGAACTTGTCCTGGAGGATGTGCAGCGGGATGGATGAATGACGGCTCAAAGTTATGTCAGCAACGTAGGTACTAAAGTCGTATAGTGGCAAGCGCGATAAAATTAATGACTTTGTTTACAATATTTAAACACGAGGTTGATTCCGTTTGAACCTCACATGTATATGGCTCATATGAGCAAATTTCAAAATACATGTGACGACAATGTGATGTACCGTGTGTGGATCTCGGTCGTACAATCTCCGCCCTAGAATCCCCAACACATGCTCTTCCCCAAGTTAGCTGATTTATCGGACTTGCCAAATGTCTGTATGCCTTATTCTAAATGATAATCGGTGGCTGCTTGGTGTGGGCTGCCATTGTCATCTGGTATGGAACACTCTTAGGGGAGGACGAAACACTTCGTCAACATATCGCTGGCCAGTCAAATATCCACGAGCAATATCCAAATCGGTTCGCTAGTTATGTGTATATCATTTCCGCCTAACACCGCCGCCTCCCACAACAAGAATAGTTCAAGAGGTCAAGATCAGTTGCCCTGACACATAGTTCGTACCAAACAGGTACAGGTACTTACTATTTAGGGAATATATTAGAATCTAACATTTGTTTATAAGTATCATACTTACTGGAACTAAGGTTAAGGTTAGGATTAGGTTAGGATTAGCCTAAGGTGCCGGGATCGAACACACCTGTGACCGAGAGTAAAATCGTTGGAGTTAACTTTGTATGCAGACTATTTCAGTGTTGTCACAACCCCTAGTGTACAGTACACAACCCCGTGCACTTAATAGAACCCACGAATCCTTTGGTAAATGACCAGATGAATACGTGCAAACACCAAGTTGTGGGTACAGTGTTCAGAGTGCAGTAAAACTGGATAAAGTACTGTGACTATGTGTCTCAGTCCACCCAGCTGTGAATGGGTACCTCGTAAGGATTTGGAAGTCATATAACTTGGTGCGCCTAGTGGCTGCAAAAGTTGTATTACCCAAGGGAGTCGAAATTGATAATACGAAGTGCCGTTGAGATTGACATCCTATGATCAAGCGAAAACAAAAGCGCCTGTGAGCATCCTAGCTGGAACTCGGCGCTATACAAATAGATTATAATAATAATACCAACGTTTTGTTCATCTGTGAGTTGGAGTCACCACCTTGATTTGTCTGTAATCAAGGGATAACGCCACTGGCACAGGACCAATATCTGGTGTTGCCAATGCTATCCGAATCCGTTAAGGTCACACTCTTCACAAGACATCTCATTTTCAGTCGAATAGTGTATTCACTTTCCAGGGGCACATTTTAAGTTTTGGCGTAATTTAATTTCTGCAAGGAGACTAATTTGTGTAGCTGTGGCCTTTAGGCCTGTCATCCTAAAGTCTCATTGCAAACGCCAACTATTTGACGGTTCGTAAAACTGTCCAGAAAAGACTTCTTTTTACTTTTCAAACTTTGGTGCAGTTTTTGTGCAACTTTTGATACTGGCGTCCCGATCTATTGTATCCACGGTTCTTTCCGTTCACTGACATGCTATCGCACATTTCGTACTGACATTTTAAGTGTGTGCTTGACTCAGTAGAATTGATGTGCACATGCATAAGATTTATTAACTGAATGATCATATTTGTTTCCTTGGTGGTTAACTGTGTTTTGATATACTCCCCAATGATAACTACATCCAATTCATTATTTCCCATTCTGGTCAGCAGTATATAAATGAACTATGCTATTACGTGTTCTGTTTTGGACAGAATTACTTCATACAAGCTTGGTAACGTATAGACAATAGACCAAGTAGACCAGATCAAAGACGTCATCTAGCTTCAGCTGATGTTAATCCGCATAGTTTTCGTTCAGGCAACATAGGATTAAGGCCCTCAGTATTTTGTATTGAAATGTTTCCAAAGGCAGAACAGAAATTATCATTCAGACACATTCCACATGAACATTAGGCGTTTTAGGAACGTATTCCCATAAGTATTGAGCAATGAGCCCCTACCAAAATTGATGGTGTCTTTTGCTGGATAATTCTGTTTATTCCAAGTGTGAATTATATAAACCCAAGTGTTACAATAACACAAATCCTAATTACTCTTTCTTCTTTTAAAGCACTTGCCGGTGGAGGTTCTATAGCAGGAATTGTTGGAGGTGCAGCTGCAGCTGTCTGTGTCATCGTGGTTGTTGTGACTGTTGTCATTTGTTTGAAACGGTAACTGCTCAACATCATTTAAGAGTCTATACACGCACATTGATTTAAAAGCGTTATATTGTATTAGCTCTTATGTCAAACTCACTAGTTGATCATACAGGGTCATTGTGAATATTCCCGCGATCGTAATCCTGGTATACTACACAGCTGTTTCATTGGATCATATATCATTACTAATATTGTGACCTCAATGGAAATTTATTTTATAGGAGGAAGCGGAAAGACGATGACTCCAAGTCGCCCGTTCCGCTGGAAGTGCGTTGTACCAAGGCAAAAACAAGGTAGAGTTGTTCTGATCACTGTTCATTGTGCAATGTGGAACTTTTAACGTGCAACGTAACGTAAACGGAATCAACCAATTGTGCCAGTAAACTATTCAATTTCTGGCAGAAACGCTGTGATCACTTCGAAAAAAACCGCATTCATTTCATTAAAGATACGCCATCACCGAGACATTCCACCCACACGCCACCTCAAATGGAAGAAGATGAGGATGCCGTGTTTTCTGTTGAGACTGAAGTCGACGGAGGCAACGAGGCTGCCGCCACCTACTACAACTGGGTGCCACCTCACATGCAATTGGAAAACCTGAAACAGTGTATATCTGATAAGAAGGCAAAAGCCTCGTTTGTAGCCGAATTTGAGGTATGTTAGTAATCAGCATGTCCTAGAGTATAGCATGTGACACCTATTCATTTCAATATTCACTGTCATGATATGCAAATACATCAATCAATCTTTTACTCCAAGTGAATATATCTGTGGAATATTTCGTTGACAACATAGCTCAAAGTGCTCTTTACCGGATTCGTAACACTGATTTTTTAATATCTATTTCTTATCTATATTTTGAATGGCCTATAGACAAAACCGAATATGTGCAAGTATTTCTGTTTGATAATTGCGATACATGCAAATAGTTCTTGTGATCATGACTAGCTTGCGTACTTGCATGAAAACTTTACTGGAACGTCTTGACATCAACTACGCCAATACGTTGTACCGAGCCAATTGTCAAAAGTTTATTTCTGAGGGCCCTCTGGCTGGCCAGCTCCATTTTGCTGACGTTAATTGTCTGAAATTCTGAATCGCTTTGTATTCCAAGCAATGATCCAGCAAACACTGAGGAAAGCGTTTAGTTGAGAAGAGACGTTTTTAACGTTGATGGGAATGTTTAATGACAGATGAGAACACACACATATTGTATCATGCCGTGCAATGAAATCTGTTCTTTTTGTTTATCAAATTTGATCATGAACGAAGTATTCCTGCACAACGACCTACACTACGAAAGTTATCGTATTATGTAGTATCATGTGCGGACATTCATGTTTTAAGGGACTATCAAGCCGTCACTGTATAGTGATCCATTCCTGAGGCGTATCCTTTATATATGAATCTGCACTTTGAATAAAATGGTGTTAATATGTATAACTGGATACCAGTTTGTAAAATATTCCTGCCACACACATTGATGTTCTTAAATATAATTTTTACATGGCTATTGATTTATGATCAGTTTTCCTTGTGTCTCGACTCTTGTACATGACATTCGCATGTATATGGATGGATTTTGTCCATATATGCCTCAGATGATCCCATTCGGTGCACGACATCCACATAAAGCTGCTATAAAACATGAGAACAAGCCGAAGAACCGTTTTCGTGCTCTATATGCGTGTAAGTCATGGCAGTTTGTTTTGATTAGCAATACAATCATTTTTCATCAAACATAGTTTTTTTATCTTCCTTTATTAATGGAAATAATATGCCTTGATAACATGCGGACGATCACATATACTGTGTGGTATATGCGCTCGTGGCAGTCATATGTCAGAGAGTAAGGTTTCTTGAATACTGAGACTTATGGTGAGAACGTGACAGCGTTGAAAATGGCTGAAAAAGTCGTTGACAATGTCTATAATCGTAATGGACCAGTTCGAATAGGGATTTTGCAATTAGAATTATAATTAACGCATAAAAGGCCCATAAGACAATTGCTTTCACTCCAGGACAAATGTCTTCTAGAAAGTTTCGATGAACCAATAGATTTGACTTTTAAATGTCCAATATTGTTGACGCTGAGTTGACTTGATCAGATGATGATTCGAGGGTGGTGCTGGCAGATGGAGAAGATTACATTAATGCCAATTATATCACGGTGAGTAGAATAATATCTAAAATCAGGCTGAATACTTCAATGATTAACAGTAAGTGTCCAATTCAGGTGATGGACATTTCTGTAAATTCGATAGTTCTAAACAGAGGATGGTAAGACAAATTGTAACTCTGTATCTTTTCACAGGGATGTGATGACACTCAAAAGTACATAGCAACACAAGGTACGAAGTAATATATCCTATTTTATTACATGTAAGATATATTCTTCCATTTAGATGTCATTTAATTTGTTACCAAAAGAATTTATATAAGTGAATTTATATGAACACTTATATCGACCCATTTCCTTGAGGGTCGATTTGTTAAATATTATCTTTCTTCTAGGAACCAAACCGGGGACTATCACTGACTTCTGGCGGATGGTGTGGCAGGAGGATGTGACACAGATAGTCATGCTGACGAGACTGATGGAGTTGAACAAGGTAGTGTGTGTTCAGGGATCCTCGATTTGTCGTAAAAAGGTTCTGCTTCATAACACATTGCAAGAGCAGTGATTGTATCCTAAATGCTTGTTTGTATATGTTGCCAGAAAAAGTGTGAACAATACTGGCCAGATAGAAGCAAATCTGAAACCTACGGAGGCTGTAAAGTTACTAACAAAAACGTGACAGCTAGGGTTGACTACACAGTCTCAACGTTTCTGGTAGAACACTCGGTAAGTATAAATATATAAAGTCAAAGCGTCCTAAAACCACATTTTAACAACCAGTGTCAGTTAACCTGTAATAGAAGTATAAATGTGGAATGTTTACCAGGAAGACTGGCAGCTCATACTGATACAATTGTAAACCTGGTGTTTACAGGGGGTCGAGAGAACTGTGACGCACTACCACTTCACATCTTGGCCTGACCATGGTGTTCCTTCTGCTCCTGCCCTCGTCAACTTCTGGAGACTGGTCAAACAGGGGGACATGGACAGAGGACCAATGGTGGTGCACTGCAGGTAACTGACATATAGAATATACCACACGTAGGATTCTAGATGCTTTTCACCCGAGCCAATGGCATATTAACTAGATGTCAGAGTGTATGTATAGAGGTGACTCACTTACAGCATGAGCTGTTCTCTCCTGAGTGGACTTCAAGTCCGTGAACGTTCTGGCGTCAACTGATTTGTATACAGAAGACCCACGGACGTACAACGTCGATAACAGACATTATCAGAGATGTGAGATGTCAAATTCTAAAAGTGTCGAGGTTGTAAAGGCGACGACAACATTTTTCAACTAATCAAATGATCATATCAATATTCTGAAAGCATAGCTTTCCAACGATGTATATTCATATGTTCAGTGCTGGAGTTGGCCGCACAGGAGCGTTTCTGGCCCTGGACTACCTGATGGATGAAGCTAAGAGCAACCACGTCAACGTGTTCATGTGTGTCAGCAAGATGAGACAGAACAGGATGAACATGGTCCAGACAGTGGTGAGTGCTTGACTGTGTAGAGTACATTACTTGTCCTACCTAGCAAGTATATTGGTTTTACCAGAGTAGATTACTTTTAGACGGGCGCTTTTAATTTGAGACTTAAGAAACATCCCGCCAATATCTTCCTGTGAACAGCTTTACTCATCTATGGTTTGGACAGGTCTTTATAACGGAAATCTATTAAAGATCATGTGTACATCCTGACAAATTAACTTGCTCGATCTAGTATTAACCAAACTCATTCTATGGCTTTAGTATAAGGTGCAATCATGTGTATGTTCCATCCAGAAACAGTACGAGTTTGTGCATGACGTGGTCCTGGAGGCTCTCAATAGTCGGGGCACATACTACACTTTGTCTGAGTTTGACAAAACGTTTGACGTTGGCGAAACGTATACAACACCCCAACTGGATATACTGAAAGAGCAGTTTGAAGTATGTAAATAGCCATATAGCTATGTCGCATTTCCGTTAAAATAATTTTCTGTTTTGTCTTTTATATATTTCATGCGATAACCTTAATACAGAAGCAACTGGTTTTGGTTTCAGTTACTCCAAGAACAGACATCTGACCTTGAAGAAGCTGTAACTTCAGAGGCACTGCTTCCAGAGAATTCATCCAAAAACAGAAACCAGCAAGTTCTGCCCGGTATAAACTTAGTAATATATTTATTTCATAAAAGTACCAAAAACTTGCAAGTACTTAGTAAACTTATTTTATCACTCTCTAGTTATACACTGATTCTAACAGAAAAAGTTTAACGTTTTCATATGTATTGTTGTAGGAAACATGTCCAGACCCTATCTGTGTACTTCAGTTCCGGGTCGGAATGATTACATCAATGCAGTGTTTCTGCCGGTATGTTGGTTAGTAATTATTCGAACAACACCAGCTCATGTGAATGACACATTTAGGTGAATCTGAATACATTAGGCCTACTGCTGCCACGTGACCATTAACATTGACAAGTAAAAGCTACGTAGTACATAGCTTCAAAGTGTCGTCATCATTAGAAATTAGACAATGATGTGTCAAAAGAAGTGGTGGTACATAAGTTGTGCCTATATTTCAGTCGACTCTCAGACCATCGTCCATGATAGTCACCCAGACCCCACTGCCAAACACTGTGGTGGACTTCTGGAGACTGGTGTACGACCATGACTGCTTCACAGTTGTCTGTCTGGATGACTCTCAGGTAAATGTATTGGATATTATTTTGACCGTTTCTACCTTCTAATATGAATGAATCCAAGCTTTCCCCTAAACCCTATGTGCGGCTGTGGTAAGATACATATATATATATATATATATATATATATTATCAATATCCATATACTATCTCCAAGACATCTAGGCATTTTATTGGTACAATATATTTCACGTACTAATTTTACAGAACGAATGTAATATGATATTCCCTTTGTTTTAATCCAGGAGATAGCTAAGCTCTACCCTAAAGACAACAACATGCTACAAATTGGACCATTCAGTGTAATACACGTGGAAACCGTTTCAAACGGAGCATTCTTTACTGAGAGAAAGTTAACACTTGTTTATGACAAGGAGGTTAGTCCTTTCATTTATTTTCATTCATGTAGACACGCATCTAATTTCGTTTTAATCGCATGAGGAATTTGCTTTATGCAGTTATGCAGAATTGAAACACATATATGACGTTATGATATTGTCCTACCATCGCCAGCGGCTGAAGGGATGGTGAAATCCAGCTAGGGTCAATGCAGGTAGCAAAAGTAATGTAAATCCCCATGGTTCCTAGTATGGTGATCTACCTTCGGCTGTTGGCGATCCGTAGCCCATGTCTTGTATTGTATTGTCTTCTTTAATTACTCTGTTTTAGTTTTACATGTTAGTTTTATGTTCATATCTGTGATACTGTAGTATTTGTACTGTCCATCGTCGACAGGTTTAACTCAACACAATGTTTTCATTTTTGTATTATATAAATTGTTTTCGTCACTATATGGCTGATATATTGCCGATGTGACGTTAAATATTAACTCACTCACTCACTGTGATATTGTCCCTCGATGTTTCAGAATTAGATATTTGATTGAGATTGCAGCCCCTGTTGCACTTGTTTCATCGCGATCTGATCCTTAAAATGCATGTTGCCTGACTCTTTCAAATGTTTTGTAGGGGATTTTCCTCGTAATAAAGAGTTCATAGTTTTATTATATTCCTCTCGTCATAACACAAATGTGGTAACTTCCCTCACAAGATACATTAACATGTCATGGATAGTGAAAAAAATCCAGTAAAAAACATATTATATGTGTAGAGATGTTGATCGATTTGCTATTCGAGGACAAGCTCACATAAATGACAGGTATTTATGTGCCTGTTCAGGACACAGAGCAGTCTGTCACAGTGTTCTGTCTCCGGTCGACGTACATGATGGAGAGTAGTGCTTCACTCTTGGAGCTTATCGACATGGTGGAGAGAATCATCGGATCTGAGGACCATAAGATCCTCATCCACTGCTAGTATGTATTTTAGATGTGTCCATGTACAATACAATCACAAATTTATCATAAAGGTACAATGTAACAAAGATCCCTATCGTCAATATTCCATTAGGCTTGTACACATTACGTTCCCATCTCTCATGTATACATACGATCATGCGATAAATAAATTATGCCATGTATTACTCACGAAACATATGAGCCCAATTATTTTGCCTCATATTGAAGCGATTGCATCACATTTGTGTTGCAACTAAGGTTGTAAGACTGAGGCGAATATTGCTGGAGATATTTTCCCGTATTGCTCTGCAATACGTACCTTTATTGGTTTCCCTTTTGCTGGCATTAGGCCTTGGTTCTCCACTCAATTAATACCGACGATTCCTCAAACTGACAGGAGATATTTACCTTTGTTAAACGTTGTTTCATACATTATGAAGTACTGACTCAAAGGACACCCTTGCAAGAGCATTCATAGCAATTTAAAGTGGGAATTAAATGAGTTCATTGCTTAATGGGAATGAGGACCGCAAAGAGACAATGGCTTTGTGGTGTTGTGCTTTTTAGCAACTTGAATGACATGATGGTTTCCATGAACCAGTGACGGTGCTGGAGTGAGCGGCGTGTTCTGCAGTGCCCTGAACATCATCAGCAGACTGAGGCTGGACAGAGACGTGGACATCTTCCTCACCATCAGGGAACTGCAGCGTGTCAGACCACAGTTTATGCAGTCCTTCGTGAGTGCAATGAATGTTCTTTTATTCTAAATAAAATTCATACGTATCGATTTTACATTTCAAATACCACAAGCTTTATAACCTCTTAAAATGTCCACTCTACATATGACGATTAGTATTAGATTTTAAAGATCTTTATTCATTCTACAATGACAAACATTAGAAGAAACTTGGGATTAACGACACTACAGCAACCTTTATATTAAATGACTGACGAAATACTGAGAGTTACACATTGCACATGGATGTAAACCAGCTTACTCACTGACGTGTCAGAAATGTAACCATCGAAAATAGGCATGTCTGGTATTTATCTAGCAAACCAGTGTACCTCCTCTATATGCAGTTGCGTCCAGACATATATGTACAGAATGGACAAAATGTATCATCGGCGAAGTTAATAATGTCTAGTATCTACCGATGTCATCGGACACATGACTAACGATGTCTGTTATTTGCAGAATCAATTCAAGCTGTGCTACGACGTAGTGAAGGAATGCAACCGTGCTTCCAGCATCTACACCAATATGTAATGAAGAAACAACGCAATATCATCTCTGATATTCCGAATAGATAGTGACTGAATGAGCTATGTTTATTGTAGTATCATGTTTCTCTGACGAACAATTTTCTTGCATCAGTAGTTGACATGTAGCCAATTCTAGAAATATTTTTTTAACAATGTAATGCCACGATTGAACATAGAACAATTGATGTTGTGTGTGAAATTGAGGCTGGAGGAAGGTGAAATTCACATCAAAGTCAACCAAAATCGACACCGTCTTCAACAATATCATTCGTTCGTTCTTTCACATTCTGATCATTAATTTGCTTCATTATTTTTGTTTATCAAATTTGTTCATTTCTGTATCATATTTTTTATGATTACTAATGTGTATTTCGCAATGACACCTGCAATGGTATATGCTTTCCTTATTGTATCGAAATCTGTACATTAGCTGTTGTATATTCAAAGTTAAATTTAAGCATACCAGATTTTTAAATGTAGTATATTTGTTCTTTTAAAATTCGGCAAAACTTTTCCTACAATCGCCAGCGGCTGACGGGATGGTGTAAATCCAACTAAGCTCCATGCAGGTAGCAAAGGCACTGTAAGTCCCCATGGTCCCTAGTATGGTGATCTACCTTCAGTTGTTGGCGATCAATAGCCTGTTTTTATATTGTATCGTCCTCAAGATTTAAAGTATTTTAGATTTTATTACTAGTTTTAAGTATATATCTGTGATAGTCTAGCTGGTTCTATTTTCTCTTGTCGACAGTTGTTTAAATTGATTACCTTGTTTTCATCGCTATATGTATGCCTGTAATATTGCCGATGCGATGTAAAATATTAACTCACTCACACACGGAACAACGTTTATTACACATTGACCTTTCTTACAGAGTAAGATGATTATATTCAGAATTTTCATTTTGTCATTTCAAATATTCTTTCCGTGTTAAACACGTAACCTTTCCAATCAATAATTCCATGATTTTGAACACCGATATTACCAATAATGACCTGTAAAAACGACCCGTGAAGGTTCGGGCTAGAATGAATCAGGCTCGCTGACTTGGTTGACACATGTCATCGGTTCCCAATTGCGCAGTTCGATGCTAATGCTGTTGATCACTGGATTGTCTGGTCCAGACTCGATTATTTACAGACCGCCGCCATAGAGCTGGAATATTGCTGAGTGCGGCGTAAAACTAAACTCACTCAGTCACCTGTAAAACAGTCACGTTCTGCCTCGTACAATGTAGTTGATACAAGCATAATGTCATCATGTAGTTAGCCCATTAACCACCATGCACACTAACTATCTTCCTTAAATGTCTAAGTTTTGCATATACACATATACACATTACATCCTGTGCAGCTTACACGAATAATGCCCTACTTGTGAAAATATGATTAAAAGATTATTAAGTGCATTCCAAAAGGATGCATTGAATGTCCTTCAGATTTTCATATACAAATATCAAGTGCAATTTGAAACAAACTCTTATTTTTAGTAATGAAAATGAGGCAAACTTTTTATAATTTCGTCCATTTCGGAATGGCACTGAACAAACCGTTGAACACTATGATTAATGTGTAATCCCAAAAAGAAATACATTGAAAATAACACTCAGCTGAGTTCATAATAACTAAATCGGAAAACTATATTAGAAAATAGGCAATATTAAAAAAAGTTGCGGAGTAAGGGGTTGAAACATTCATTTTGTCATATGTGTATTTTACATAAATGTATTTAAGGCTTAATTTTTCTTCCATGAGTCAACAAAAGTTAAATCTAAGAGTGAGTGAGTTAAAAAATTACATCGCATTGGCAATATTACAGCCATATAGCGATTAAATCTAAGATGTTTACTTGATCTCAATATATGATTATGGTGTGTAAGATACAGATTGCTGTATTGTGGGGATGTCAGATACCACTTATCTTACAACTCTGTTGTTTCTCTATACGTATATAACTCGCTTTGCTCTTTGAAACAACTCGTACGAAAAGTGGTATCTGACAGACATTTTGTTATTATTATATTTACTACTCTTTATATACCGGACACAATAAGTAAGGGATATTGGTATTTTTATGATTGATATTTTATCAGAGTGTCAATGAATAAATAGATCATTATTCATAATTTACATATACCCCTAAATATTTTTGTCCAGCATATCTTTGCCACTCTATCTGTACTGCCACTGAATGTGCAAAACCAAGTTATATCATCTGACCATATCAATTCATTTGTTGTGGCTTGTGTTGATTTTACTAAATTGATTAATTATATCCATATCTCTTTGTTGTATATTGGTCTCTACAACAACGGTTCCGCTGTGAACTGATAACCTCTTATCCAGATTGTTTCAATTTGGGAAGCCACACGCAATATAGTAGGAAATATCGAGGGAAAGCCAAAATTGCAGTATATATAATGAACACCTAACATTCGACATGTCACCTGGCCTGTTATTGAAGTCTAATTGACTGTTTTCGAACACGTGTTCACTGCGTTAACATGCGGTCATTATATTTATATAATAAATTTAATGAAGCGCTTTTAAATACTTTACACGGGTAGATGCATTGCTCAGGCCCGCTTCTTCGGGCGGTAGGGTAGCCTAGTGGTTAAAAGCGTTGGCTCGTCACGCCGAAGACCCGGGTCTGAATCCCTACATGGGTACAATGTGTGAAGCCCATTTCTGGTGTCCCCGCCGTGATGTTGCTGGAATATTGCTAAAAAGCGGCGTAAAACCATACTCAGTCAGTCAGTCAGTCACGTCAGGGCCCGCTTCAAGGAAGGAGAGTAGAGATTGTAGCTCTTACAGGTTCGGGTCAATTCAGTACAAGTGTCCTTTTGCTATAGATTGACTGCAATAGAGAAATAACGGAATCTAGAGTTCCGAATAATGTTACCAGTATCACAACATTAAATATTATTCAACTTCAATATCCATAAAGATACACTGACGACAAAGTTCTACATTTTCAACGGCTTGCAGAAATGGATAATGTTACAGTCATCTTATATAGATAATATTTCACTAAATAACCCTTCATAATGTTAAATTAATGAGTTTTGAAAGCCCTTACAACGAACGAAAAAACGAGCGAGCTTTTGAATGCAGCAAACAGTTTCTGAATACATGTGGATAGGAAACAAACAGTGGTTAACTGAATATTGCAGCGTTACCGCCGATAGGATTCATTACATCAAACAATAAAAGTGATTATCAGCTTAAAATGCTCAGATAAATTCACACCGTTTGTAAACCATTTGTCTCCTCTGAGCAGCGTGTCTTCACATGACAACAAGGCATACACAGTGAATTCAAAACATATCGCTGACCAGCAGTTATCCCCTTTGAAACCACTGAATGCAACTCCGCTACAAATTAACGGTTAAACAAAGTTTAGGCATTTGTGTCACCCATAACAAATTCTCTGACAAACCTATGGAACAGATAATTTCAAAATAAATGATGATACTATTGGTACATGGACTGCAGTTGACTGAAAATATGTACGCAAAAATCATTGATCCAATTTTGTATATAAAAGCCTTTAACTTTCATGTTTGTGAGTTGAGGTTCAAGTCAGCATTATTGACAAGGTCAATAAATAACACATTTCTTTTTGGCTAACATGCTGTATATAGATACATTGTATATGTAAACTTAGATAAACTGTCAACATT